AAAGAGTGAGTGTCTGTGATGTGCACCTGGGTAGGTGTGGTTTGGAGTGAGGGGGAACCCCAGAAAGCCAGGGAGTTCTAGATTCTCTCCAGCCCTAGCCATTACCACGGCCCGATCCTGCTGGGCGTCAGGAGCTGCAGTGGGGGCCCCAAAACACTGGAACTGGAGGGCTGTGAGCGCAGCCTCTGAGCGCAGGAACCCTCAAAGGGACCCTCAGCGGACCAGCCTCTGAGCGCAGGAACCCTCAAAGGGACCCTCTGAGGGCTGAGACTGTCTGATCCTCCCTGGTCTCAAGCTCACAGGCACCTTCTCTCTGACCTTCATCCCCTGAGTCTCCCACATGCCCCTTCCACTGGCTCTCACTCCAAATTCGGTCTGTAGGTTTCCTGGGCATTTTGTTCATCACCCGTTCCCATCAGCCCCTGAACTCACAAATAGCCACTTTGGATGCTGCAGTGCGGCCACGGGCAGGGCGCACCTCTGCAACTGATCAGCAGCACGGTCTGAAGGGGGCTGGGGTCAAGGATGGGAGACTGGTGAGGGGGTCCTTCAATGCCTTTCCTCTGGGACCTGGAGGTCAGTAGCCCGAGCTCAGCCCAAAGAGGAGACAAGAGAGAAAAAACAAGGCAATGGGTCTGGGTGTCCCACTGCACTAGCCAGGAGGCTCCTCAGAGAGGACACCCTTGGATCCCCAGCACAGATGGAGAAGCGGAGGCCTTTCTTACCACCGACTCTCTGACGCTCTCCTTTGGTCGCAGCGCAAGAGGTGAGGAGACTGTCCGCCTGCAGATCACAACACCCGGGGCGGGACTCCGCCTGGTGGCCCCAGACCTGGAAGAAATGAGGTACAGGGGCCCTGCTGCTGCCTGGGCTCCTTACACACGATTCTAGAGTTGGGGGAAGCAGGGTCAGGGTGCAAGCGATGAGGCCTGGGGTCTGGTTAGTGAGAGACATGAGCCACCTGGGTTCTCTGCCCCCAACCCATTTCACTCCACAAGTCCTGGGGAGCGAGCACTTGGTCCATGGGAGACCAGACCCGGCCCTGGGGACCCAGTGGCAGCCACCCCCCGCTGAAGTTGCTGACTGTCTGCCTGGTGGGGGAGGCAGATGCAGACACAAGTGAGATGCTGAGCGTGTGCCAGGAGCCCCTGGAAGTGATGGTTCACCCTGCTGGGCCCTGTGGATGGGAGCAGCCAGCTGTGCTGGGTGGGGATCTGGGCTTTGCAGAGCCCCATGAAGCCACTGAAGCAGCTGTGGAGCGGGGGGCTTCAATTCTTTGTGTTTGTGTGTCTTCCAGTTCCAAGGAGGGTTTCGGGTCAGTGGAGAAAGTCGTGCTGCTCACATTTCTGTCGGCTGTTATCCTGATGGCAGGCTTGGGGGACCTGCTGGGGGGGGGGGGTGGGGGCGGGGGGAGGCACCAGGAACAGGGCAGGATCACTAGGTCAGCCTTGACAGTTCAAGGGACAGGGGAGGGGGTCAGGGGGGGCACAACCAGCAGGGAGCACGGCAGGCCCAGCCGCTGCCCCGAGGTAGGGGGCAGACAGTCAAGTAACATGCAGGCAGGGTTTGGGGGGCTGGGAGCTGGGCCCCAGGGAAGCTTGGGTGGGGGCAAAGGGAGATGCGAGCAGGGAGGGGCCGCTTGTTCCCGGAGGGAACAGGCTCTGAGTCCTGATCATTTAGCTACTCACCCAGCTCACAGCAGTGAAGCCGACAGACTGGGACCCCACCTCGTGAAGCCAGAGTCCGGGGAGGGAGGCCAGAGCATAAGCCCAGGCTAATCCTTGGGGCGGTGGGAGCTCCGATCTCTGGGGCCTTTGACTGTCTTCACTGGCCCCTGCCTCTCTACACTCTCGCCGCAGTCGGGCACTGAGTCCTGTCCATTCTATTTTAGAGATATTTCTGTCCCTAGTGCCTTTCCCCTGGGGCCAGGCCTCCTTCATCACTCGCTCCATCCCGGAATCTCCTTCATATTTCTACCTGGGTGCCATTTCTAAAGGGCAGCAGTAGGCCTATGCCAGTCCCTGGGGAAAAACCCTGCAACGGCCCCTCCCCTTTAGGCTCCGCAGCCTGAACTCTCTACCTTGCCCGGCGGGGCTCATCCACCCCCTCCCCAGGATCCCCTCATACACCCTTCCTCCCTGGGCCCTCCCCACCAGCCTCCCCCAGCCCCATCCGTCTGTGCAGGCTGTAGGATGCCCTTTCCCATCTGCATTTTTCAGTCTCAGCTCAGAACTCTCCCCTTTGTAGCACCTCCTTTGCTTGTGTTTCTTTCTGAGGCAGCGCCTGTGAGGGGCTTTCTGCACTGAGCTCACACAGCACTGTGTTCATCCCTCCACCAGAGAGTGTTCCACACGGAGTCACAGTTGTCCACTCACAGATGGCTCTGCCCCAAGGACTCCAAGCTCCTGGAGAGCTCAAGGCCTGGCTGGCCCAGAACAGGACTGCAGGAGCATTTACTGCTGGAATGATTGAGAATCACCCAGTGTGGCAACGTCTTTAATAAGGCAACCCTGGAGGCTGCTTCACTGGTTTCCCTAAGGTGACCAGTCCCTGAGAAACAGGGGCGAAGTGACCCTGAGAGACGCAGCAGGAAGCCAGGCTGTCTCTCAGGAAGGTCTGTGCTGTGTGCCCCATAAGGCCTCCACGACCCATAAGGCCTCTGGCATTTTGTCTGGGAGTGACAAAGCTATAACAGCCCTTGGAGATCCTCTGGAGCACCCCTCCCCCACTTTCCAACAGGAAAGTCAAGTTGGAGGAAAGGAAGAAAGAGGGAAAGCTAGAATTCACTAAGCCCTGCCCTGTCCCAAACAGCCTACCACGTGTCCCCATGCAGGATGTAGATGCAATCACTATGCCCATCTTACAGATGAGGAAACTGAGACCATGAATGCTTAAGTAGCTTCCTCAAAGCCACACGGCCAAGAGTAGGCAGATCCATGACTCCCACCCCACTGCCTGACTCCTTCCCTGCGCTTTTTGCTCCATAAGTCACTACAGTAGTGGGAACTAAGGGGAGGGGGCAGGAAGGGGTGCTATAAATACTTAGTGCTTTACAAATGACTATATGATGAGTTTATTTGTAGGCATCCAAGTGCAAATTACCAGGAGGCTTTTGAGGGTTTCTGGTTGAGCTTTGGCAGAGAGATCAGGGCTCAAGAGATTTCCATGTTCAATGCAGAGGGATGAGAGCAGAAATAATGGGGTTCAACGTCGATATTTACATGGGGTACAAAGTCAAGGGACTCGAGGAGAGAGGAGCCAGCAAACTGAGCACAGATCGTATCGTGGAGGTGACAGCTGCCTGGTCATTCCCCTGAGGGCAGCTGGTGAGGGTGGTCAGTTCTGGCCATGTTGAGGGTGAGGTGCCTGAGGGCCAGTCCCAGAAGCAGTGAGGGTACGGGTCAGAGCACAGAGGAGAGGTGGGAACAGGCAGACGTCATTGGCTGAAGAATGACAGTTGACGCCATGGGAGCAGAGGAGGTGACCAAGGTAGGTGGCAGAGCATGCAGATGGAGAGGGTTGCCAGGAACACCAACATTTAAGCCAGTGACACAGAGTCATGATGGATGGATGGGGGAGAGAAGGCTGGAGTGGCCCACTGGGTCAGGGGTCCTGAATGGTGAGAATGATGGGAGTGTCTCTGTTGGGTTTGACACCATGAGGCTCCCTGATGACCTCAGAGAGAATAGAGGGAGGTTGAATCAGGAGTTAGGATCAGTCTTACACCATAGAAGATTATAGTCTAGAACTCTGAAGTCAGACTGCTTGGGTTCAAATCTCAGTTTTTCCCCTTGTTACTTGTGGAACTCGGGGCAAGTCACTCCAGGCTCTCTGTGCCTCAGTTTGCTCATCTGGAAAGTGGGCATGGATAAGAACAGTGACCATGTTGTGGGGTTGATGTGGAGAGCTAGTGCATTCAGAGTCATGAGAATGGGGTCTGACCCTCAGTCAACAGTAGCTGTTGGTAGACTTTGATAATTAGCCAATCCTGCAATATCAGGATTTGCGCTCTTTGGAGAAAGCTGGCATTTGGGGATGAGGTAACTGCCCCCACCTAAGTATGGTTGGCTGATGGGTAGTTAACTTATGTTTCTTTCCACCATAGGTCTTCCCCAGGCTCCAAAGACAACGAAGCCCCCAACCCCAGAGAGCCCAAGAGAGACTTGACTGGTGAAAGGGCCTTCAAGGGCCTTGGTGCAGACTCTGAAAGGTAACTCAGTGCAGGGACACGGAGCCCATGTGGCCCCCCCCATCCAAGGTCAGTGGATGGAGCTGGGACCAGGACTGTCCCATTCTTCACTGTGTCCCCAGTGTCGGGGGCAGTGCAGGTCCTCAATGAATATCTGCTGAAAGAATGAATGAAGGAATGCACCAGCAGGCGGACTCTCAACCAGCTGCAGAGGAGGACAAAACTTTTGTTTTGTTCGTGCCCCGGTCCGGGAAGATCCTCCTCCAAGCTGGAGGTTTCAGGAAGTCAGTGACCAAAGGATTCGTGGACCCCAGCAGAGCATCTAACAGGGCCTTCCAGGGTGGCCTGTAGGCGAAGGAAGACGCAGAGGGGGTGCATGGATGGGAGACAGAATGATAGCAGGGGATGCTGAGTCCAGAGGGGCTGCTTGTGCGCCAGCCACCCCACAGCCATCCCACTGACCTGTCCTTCAAGCCAGACCAGGGGAGCCTGGGGATGGTGACCAGTCGCTCACAGTTGGGCACTTCCTGAACAGGAAGTAATGGATAAGAGCCCACAGCCTTGTCTGCCGGCCACTGTGTTCTTAGTGTGCAGCCCTAGGCCCTGTGGAGCCCCAGCACTGGAATGAGGGAAGGGGACCCAGGATTGTTCGGGGAGCCTGTCTCTGCCCTGGGCTCTGTTTCTTGGCTCCACTTTTGCTCCCAGCCCATCAAGTTCGGAAAAAAGGCAGAAATGTTGCTGACATCAGCTTGGCTTCAGTTGGAGCAGTGCAGGGTGGCCGCTGAAGGCACCCGCTCTCAGGACATAGGAGTTACATTCAATGGAAACCCAATCAATCAGTCAGCAAATGTTTCTCTTCCCATAACAGATCAAGTGATGGCAACGTGGGATCCGGAGCCACGGGCTCCACACCTGAAGGCTTGGCCAGAGCAGACATCAGCTCTGGGAGAGGAGGGTGAGCTACCTGGGGGAGGCCCGTGGCCCCAAGTTGTTGATTCTCCCCTGTTCCTGGTCAAGTCGCCACAGCTGCTTGGGCTGCTGGGGGCGGGGCACTGGCCATTTTTCCCATAGTCCCGTCTACCGCTTCTCCCGTCTCCGGCACTCCCGCCGCCAGCACATCCTTTGTCCCCGGACTTTCCACTCCTGAGATTTACCTCTGCTTCGATCTCGCTCCTTCTCCTACCCTCTTCCACTAGCTCTCAAGCTCCTCCCAAGTAGGCATGAGGGCGGGCCTGGGCGGGCAGGATGAACATGTGGGGAAGGAGGGAATGATGGATGCATCGCTGCCTTCCTGCTTCTTGGCCGAGCTGTGAGGGCAAGCTGGAAGGCGGTCCGTCATCCCTTCCAGAAGCCCCAAAGCCTCCTCCACCTTCCTCCTCTGGCCAGCTCTGCTCTCAAGTTCAGTGAGCAGAAAAGCAGTGGCCCCAGTGAGACAAAGTAGGAGACAAGCGTGTCTAGCTGGGCTCTGACTTCTTGGACCTGGGTAGAGTTAGGGGCCATTTTCTCAGGTGATATGCGGAGTGGCAAGGTCCCACTTGTCCCTAGGTGGTTCCAAACCAAGCATGACTCATCCCTGGGGACAAAGGTTAGGTGTACAGATGTTGGCACAGATAGTTCAGCTGCAAGCTGTGCTAGAGCCCTTATGGTTCAGAACAGATGGCCAGGGAGAGATGGTGAAGCCAGTGTCTACAGAGAGCCACCAAGGCACGCTGCCAGCCGGCACCCCTGCCCTACAGCAGTCTGGCCGAGGAGAGAATCTCCGCTGTCCCAACTGGCCCTCTCAGCTGCCCCTACTCGCCCAAGCCCACTGGGAGCCCCTTGCCCTGACTAACTTTACTAGTTTGCAACTGATGCCTGGACCGCCAAGGCCCGACTTCCAAATCGGTAGCACAAGCCAACATGGGAAGAGGATGACCGGCCCCAGCGTCTGCCCACTGTGCCTCAGCTGGTGTCGGGAAACGCCACGGGGCCGGGGCCTCGGTCCTCTGAGCTCCCGCTAGTGGGGAGGACTGTGGAAGAGCCTGGCACCCGCGTCCTGCATCACGGTGCCGGCCAGCACGGTCCTGCAGGTTGACTTCATTCTCTGGTCCAACATGACTGGGCTTGGTTCTTGACTTCTTTGTCTTCGAATATTCATCCAGAACATCCTTCTTGCCTCTGCCCCCTCGCAAAATGAAGTCTTTGCTTTCTGCATTGTTTCCTTAAAATGAAGCCAAAGCTCATATTAACTTGCAGAATTATCTGAATACCTTCTAGACTTTTATGACTTTTAACAGTCTTTTACATTGTCTCTTCTATAGACAGTGATTTTTAAGAGACTTGCTTTTATGGTCTTTGCAAAGAAAAGGTTGTTTGTCACGAAAAAAACACCCACTCTCCTTTTCCATTCATTTTTATGAGTTTACTTAATAAGTGAATTCAGTGATTATGGTTGCAAGTGCAACTGGTGTAAGTGGGTGTGGAAACAAACACGAGCAACTCTTAGCATGCGTGCCATTCAAGTGGAGGGTGCAGGCTCACACAGGTAACTGCTCGGCATGCTGTGAGTCACAGAGGGACATGGAACTCAGCCTACACCTGGGAAGGCTGCATAAGACAGCACCCACTGAATCCGTATCAAGTTGATGGGCACAGACGGACTGCAAAGGGTTGCAGCTCCTACAAATGGCCACAGGGCCCAGTGATAATCACAGGAGCACTTTAGCACATGTTGGGGCCCAGGCATTTTTCTAAGTACTTGGCATCTATTGACTCATTTACTCTTCTCAGAAAATGTATGAGGCAGACACAGTTGTCACCCCATTTCACTGATGATCCAACTGAGGCCCAAAGAGGTCAGTTGATGTGCCCAAGGTCACATAGCCAGAAGCTTAATAAAGCTGTGATTTGAATCAGAGTAATGTGCCCCCCCCCCCGGGAGTGTGCACTTCACCACGAGGCCATGCTGTCCTGGTGTCAGTCAGCTGTAGGATGTGAGTGAGTACTGTACTCCAAGCATCCATTTGAGGAACTCCTTAGTGCCCATCATCTGTTGGGAACAGAAGCCACCCTCTCGGGGGGTGTAGACATAAAGACGCAAAGTCCTGAACCAAGACCGGGCTTGGCCTCCTTCCACAGGCTGTGCTCACCTGCTGTCTTTACCCCTCTCCTGGATGATCAGGAGGTGCCCAGTGCCAACTCACAGCCTCATAAGCCTAGACCAGCAGCCACCAGGTAAGGGTGGGGCAACTGCCCAATGACCAATCCCATTGCCAGATGGCCTCATCCTCACGTCCAGCACCCCAGGGTCCCCCTTGAACCTCTCAGCTCCATGCCATCTTCACATCAGGTGATCACTGCAGGGCAGAGAAGGCTGGGAGGTGAACCCACCCACCAGGAGCAGTGGAGGAGTGGGTACAGGTGATAAGTCAGGGGACCCAGACAACTCAGCACCTACCCAGAGGGACCCAAGCTGAGGTGGCAGAGAAGAGGGCATTGAGAAGTGTAGCTTGGGAAGAGACCCTGCTAGGAGAAGTCGGTGGGAAGAATCCCAGGGACAGCCAGCCGGCAGCAGAGGGCTCAGCCCCAGGGAGCATGTGGAGGTGGCTGGGGAGGTGCAAAGGTGCAATGGGAGGAGGTTGTGCATTCCCAGGCTGCAGGCTTCTGCCCTATTTCATCTAGCAATCCACCAGTGGGAAGTGGCCATTTTGCTATGGGTGTGTGCAACATTTAGTAAGGAACGATCGTTCTAGATTCCCACAGAGCCCCGGGAGGTGTAGGTCATGCAAGGATGCTAGAACCCCAAACTAGGAGGACACTTCCCCAGGACTTCCAAGCTGGTCACGGCCAGATGTAGGTCCTCCTTTCCTGTGAGAATGCAGCTGGGAAGGGGAAGACCTGGGCTCCAAGTCTCCTTTGGCCTGAGGCTTCAGAAGGTCTGTGTGCTTCCTCCTTCAGCTCTGGTGCCACTTCTGCCTCTGCTGTCCTGGCTGGCAGGAAGAGCAGCAGCCCGGCACACCTGGAGGACATGGAGACGGACCCAAACGGGTAAGGCATCAGCTAACAGTGCTGAGCTCGTGCGGTGGAGAGAGGCGGCTCAAGTGTACATTAGCCTTTGGCTGGGAAGGTGAGGCCAGTGAGGCCTGTGAGCTGGCCCAAGGGACGTGGCGAGGGCTGAAGCCCCAGCTGGAAACCTCTGGCCTCTGCCAGGAAGTCCTCCGTAGTCAGGAAGTCAACCACTCTTTCAGTCAGCAACTACTTGGAAGGCGCCTGCTCTGTGCTGGAGGCTGGAGTGCACAGACAAATTGGACAGGGCTAATGGGGGGCAAAACCTGGTCCAGACTGGAACAGGGGAAGGGGGCCCCAGGACAGCCTCACGGGAGAGGTGACTTTTGAGCGGAATCTTGAAAGGTGAATAGGAGTTCTCCAAGCAAAGGGTACAGGATGTACAAAGGACTCCAAATAACCTGGTGTTTACTGGGCACTGTAAGTAGCTAAGCGTGGAACATGAGGTTTGTCAAGGTAGGCAGGGGCTCATTGGCTTCTTCACTTTGGGGCACCTACTGTGTGCACAGCCCTGTACTCAGTGTCTCATACGGCCCTCCCCACAATCATGTGAGCTTTGTGCCTAGCGATAATGAATAACAAAGGACTGGAAGTCAGGTCTCTGTGACTCCTAGGAAGAACGGTGCTTTGAAAGAAATAGCCGGGGTGCTAAGATACAGAGTAATGGTGGTGAGGAGGGTACTACTTAGATGAGTGGAGGAACCAACAACTCTAGGAAGAGCAAGGAGTAAAGAGCTGCAGATAGGGAAACACAGACTTAAAACCCTGCTTTGGGAACACGCTTAGCAGCTTCCAAAGCATAAAGTAGCCTACCCGGTGAGGGGGACCATAGATGGAACCGTGCCCTGGTAAGCCATGAGAGGGAGATTGGATCTTCTTTCAAGTTTTAAGCCAGAGAGGAACACGGTCTGATTTAGGTGTTTAAGAAGTGAGTGAATGTTTTCAATTTCACACCACATTACAGCTACTTTTTTACATTTGTCACCCCTACATAAACCGTGAGGCTGGGGGTGGGGTGGGTAATGGATCGCTAAGGTATGAGGCACTATTATGTGACTTTTTTGTTTCAAATTGCCCTGACAATTAACAGAGTGAAAACAAAGACTGACACCTATAGTGCGCTCTGCCAGGTGCTTTACTCTTGCCAGCAACCCTGTGAAATTGATAAGATGGGGAAACTGAGGCATAGAAACGTTAACTGACTTGTCAAGGGATTCCAAATGGCAGAGCTGAGTCGCAACTGAAGAGGTTCTAAGAAAAACCCCAGGAAAAAACTTTGAAAAGCTAGTTTATGAACTCTGTTCTTTGGAGCCTATTCTCAAGACCCAGAAGCAGTAACTGTCAGATGGTTAATGTATACAGCACGCCATCTGCACAATCGCATGTAATATTCCCCAAACCTGGGGAAGGATCTGGCTTCTTATTGCGCAGTTTGACAGTGGAGGAAACGGAGGGCTCCTATGAAGAGCAAAGCTAGGAATAGAGCTCAGATCTGGCTAACTGTAGAGCCCCGGCTTAGAACTAATTTTCTCTGATTAAAAGTTCGCAAAATCAAAACAAACTTTCTTGATCAGTGTTTCACAACTCTGGCTGCACTTGATAATCACCTGAGAAGTGGTTTTTTTTTTTTTTTTAAAGTATCCTGTGACCCACGCGGAGAGATTTAGATTCAGTCGTTCTAGGGTAGTGGTTCTGAAACAGGGGCATCTCCCCCACCTCCAACCCCCCAAGAGTCACTTGGTGATGTCTGAAGACACTGTCGATTGCCACAACTGGGAAGAGGGTACTACTGGCAAATGGTGGGTGGAGACCACGGATGCTGCACAGCATCCTACAGTGCAGAGGACAGCTCCCACCACAGTTATCGAGTCCAAAATGTCAATAATGGTGAGGCTGACAAATTCTGTCCTAGAGCTGTCACGATGTCATGGGAGGCCAGGAGATTCTGCAATGGGAAGAAAAAAAGGTGGGCAGAGTCCCCACCTGCCCTGCAGGGAACTGCGCAGCCGGCACAGAACGTGTGCGCTTGCGCACGAGCGCCGGCACGAACATGTACGCCTGCGCACGCGCGCCGGGACACAACGTTTGCGCCTGTGCACGCGCGCTGGCACACACGTGTGCGCCTGCGCACGCGCGCCAGCACGCAATGTGAGCGCCTGCCCACGCGCGCCGGCACGCACTGTACGCCTGCACACGCGCACCGGCACAGAAGTGTGCGCCTGCGCACGCGCGCCGGCACACACGTGTACGCCTGCGCACGCGCGTCGTCACAGAACGTGTGCGTCTGTGCGTGCGTCCCCGACTCGCGCGTGCCTGCACGCTTTTGGGTCTAGACCGGCGTGAGATCGTCTTGTGTGCACCTGCGCGTGCGTGCCCCGGGAGGGTGCGCGTTTGCGTTCAGCGAGTGTGCGCCTGCGCGCACCGCCATTTCCTGCAGCCCCGAGCTTGTGTCCGGTGCCTATTGGGAAACGGGACCGTCCACACAGCGAAATGGCTACCGGGGGCGTGAGCGGCCTCGGCGGCGCTTCTCCCGCGGTCGTGCCCGCGCCTGCCGCTAGATGGCGCGCGAGGATCACAGTTGGGCCGGGCCGCCCATCTCGGGCACCCTGGGCTCTCCCTGCCCTTCCCCCGATAGCCTGGAGGACGTGGGCCCCGATAGCCTGGAGGACGTGGGTGGTTCCCCCGGCCTTGGGGCTGAAGCAGCGCCACCCCGACCACGTGTGCACACTCGCCGCAGTGCCGGCGGAGGCGGGAGAGAGGAAGGGAGCTTCGTGCCCCCAAGGAGCCAAAGGGGCTGTTTGGCGGGGTTCCCTGGTGTCAGTGGGCTCTGGGCGCTGGCCTTCAGAGCTGGTCGGGGCCGGGAGCTGTGGACACGCGGGGAGGGCGGCTCGACCCTCCAACCACGAGGGACCTCGGGCGGAGATGCCTGCTCTGGGCGCTGGGGCTCCGTGGGGAAGGGGCTTGTTCCTAAGAGGTGGGGGAAGGAGGGGAATGGGCTGGGCAGGGACCTCCTGCAGAGCAGTGGAACTGTCCCAAAGTTGAGGAACTGTACCCTACTCTAACTTGGTTTGCTTCATCACAGTACAGGTACAGGAAGAGGTGGTATAGTATAGTGAGCACGGACTCCTGTGCCTGGGCTCAAACCTAAGCTCTGTCAGTTACCTGCTATGTGGTTTTGGGTATCGTACTCATCTATGTGCTTCAGTTTCCTTACTTGTAGAATAGTGGCGGTAATAGATCCTACCACGCAGGGTTGTTGTGAGGGTTAAATGCGTTTGCATGTAGGACATTTCCTGGCACAAAGTACTACGTAAATGTTGGATTCTCCTTTTATAAGAAGTTACAGCCAAATAAAGCAGTCGCAGAGGACTATCTCTTTCCACCAGAACTATTTAAGGACACTCAGAAAGCTGGCCTCTGGTCTCCTTTACCAGCCGTATTGGCCTGACTTCATTTAATAAGATAGATTAGCTCACCTTCTCCCCACTAAATTTGTGTTATTAGACTTTACATCTAAAGCATATGCTGTTTTCCTCTGTGTTGCAAGTCTGGGATTTTCAGGTTTATGTTCTCTCTGCATTAGGAACAGGTGAACTTTAACCACATTTGTTCACCGCGGACAACTGCTGTCAATCATTGGAGGAGTGTAATGGAGGTACACAAGAGTCGAAGGGGCTGTGTTCTTCCACGTAGAGAGTGTGATTGTGTACAGAATTGTCAGTAGCTGTATTAGGCTTCTGGATCTTTGATCCGGTTACAGCCAGAAGTATTACCTTCCCTGTCTCTAAACACTTGACTTCCAGGCAATTCATTAGGGGCCTGGAAGACCTCTGGGTTGTTACACTGCTCAGCAAGACTTCCCGTGACTGTCCCTTTTATGGGTTAGGTGGGTTATACCGCCTATAATTGTAGTGAGTCTGCTCTGAGGCCTAGGGTGAAGGAGCCTTATTCATCCACTTGCCCATGTGTCGCATCTTTGCTGAGAATCTGGCTTTATTCACAGACTTGGTGAGGATAACTTCTGTTACCGTAATTCTGTAGGGGATATGGGTTGGTACAGGACTCCAATTAAGTCCATGGTAAAGCTAGCTCAGGGCTTCCAGAATTGGGAAACAAACTCTTAAGGCCTTCTTGGTTTGCCTTTAGCTCAAGCCTGTATGTCACAGGCAGAGGTGGGGTGGGTGTGTCAGGGCATTCTGCTGGTAAGGGGCTGGCACTATCTGAGGAGAGCATACTCTCCGAAAGGCATGAGCTCCACTCCCCTTGTTATTCCAGCTTGAAGGCAGTGAGCCTGCCTGCCTACTATGGGATTAACTTCCATGAATAGAGTCCCAGGGCTGGAGGTGGCTGGTGGTGTGATCTTCTTGTCCTAAGATAGCCCCACCAGCCATTGGAGGCAGGCTGCTGATGTTAGGAGGGTTGAGATCGGGATGGGCCAGGATCAAGGTGATGGTGAACTAGACACTCATCTTTTGGAATGCTAGCCTCATGTTCTCAATAATCTCACTCAGTCTTGGCCCCGGCCAGTGGGCATATGACATCTTTGGTGCTTGAGGCCACCAGGCAGCAGCACCATCCCACGGGACGTGGAGAAGGCGGCAGCACTGAGAACAAGGCCCTCCGAAGCACCTCAGGCTGGGGATGGTGATGGCAGGGATGTGCAGGGGTCGCTGTGATGTGAGGCCAGGAAGGAAGGAAGAGCTCCCAAAGAGCTTGATGCCAAGGACAGCGGGGAAGGCGCTCCCTCCTTGCTGGACTGAGGGGGTGACAAAATCATCTGGGCTCAGGCTTCGTGTAATACACGTGGGGACAGCTGTTGGTGGGAGGGGAGCAGCGGTGCTGGGGTCCACCTGAGGAAGACACGAGCTCTCCCCGAGGTGGGGGCCATGCCGGGCTTCTGTCTGCCCCACCTCCTGGGAGAGGGGCCTGCTATGGCCACGGGAGGGGATATCGGTGTGTAGTCGGTAACCAAGGGCTTATTCTCCCTCAGTACCTTGGCTGATTTTGAGGAAGAGAATGTGGTCACCAAGGTGGGAGACGCCTGGCAGGGGAGGCCTGGAGCCCAGCAAGGTGACCGGGGAGACCCAGCTGCACCCACCCATAAGCTGGCAGACCCCAGCAGCCCCGAGCAGCAGAGCAGCCCCAGGAATCCTGACCAGCACCTGGAAGTGGACAGCCAGGCCAGCAGGTAAGGGCCACTCTGTGCTGGACTCCTGCCTGCCTGAACCTGACTTTTGTCAGGGCCCGTAGCCCAGAGCAAACCCTAACACGCTAGGCATGCCAGCTACCTTCTGCAGGTGTGATGGGCTAGGAGCCCATGGGAGGCTGACAAGCAATGAGTATCCCAGGGGTGGATCTCTGTGGGCTTGAGTTTGGAGCCACAGCACCAAATCTGTTACACCAAACCTGACAGAGAGAAGGTGCCCAGAGAACCGTGCTATCTGGTAGCCACAAGGAGCGTGAAGACCTGGCTTGGCAGAAGGATACGGGGTGCCTTGCCATTCATGGGGCTGGAAGATTTCTAAGCTGTGCCTTGTATGGCACCATTTCAGTGTTCTCTTAGCTCTCCAGAGATCTTTGCCCAAAGTGGTCATGAGTTTGGGGATAGCCCAGAGACGATATACAAGTACGTCATATGAACCAGTTGTAGGTAGTGGCCATACACACGCTGAACACGATGGCCGGGCCCCCAAGCACACCCTCAGGAAGCAGACAGATACCGGAGCAGTAACACCATGGTAGGAACCATTAGTATTTGCTGCGTGCTGAGAATGTGCAGGCATCCTTCTCATGCGTTATGTGTCCTCACTCATTTAGTTCTCACACCAACCCTATGAAAGAGGTGCTATTATTATTTCTGTTCTATAGTTGAGAGGCTGAGGCGGAGGGACGTTGAATAGCTGGCTAGTAGTCACCCAGCCAGGCAGTGGCCTAACAGGGATTAGAACCCCGGCAGTCAGCCCAGAGCCTGTATTGCTAATCACTGTGTTATATCCGCTGCCTCTCCATTTTTTTTATTATTATTATTTTTTTTTTTTTTTTGCGGTATGCGGGCCTCTCACCGTTGTGGCCTCTCCCATTGCGGAGCACAGGCTCCGGACGCACAGGCCCAGCGGCCATGGCTCACGGGCCCAGCCGCTCCGCGGCACGTGGGATCTTCCCGGACCGGGGCTCGAACCCGTGTCCCCTGCATCGGCAGGCGGACTCAACCACCGCGCCACCAGGGCAGCCCATCCGCTGCCTCTCCATTTTTGATAAGCCATCTCCTCCTTCTACTTCAGGTCTCCTTGCCCCTCAGCTCTTCTGTCCCCTCGACTATCATGCTGTGTATGGATCAGAGGATGCCAGACACTTGCTAGCTGTTCAGTCAGAAGTGGATGCTGTTTCCTTCCTCTCGTACTCAGTCGTCTTCTGACTGTCTGGTCCTGCACTTTATCCCCTGTCTGTCTCTCCACGTTCCCATTGGGCCTCCCTTCCCAGCCCGTCCACCTCCTTCAGTCTGCATGGTGCATTCCTGTGTCCTAGAGTGACATAGGACTAGGCACAGGGTGACTGGGCACATTGAGGCAGGGTACCTCACCCAGCCTGGGGTGACAGGGCAGGTACTCTGGGAATGGCTTCCCCGAGGAGAAAGTAGTGTCATGTGCAAAGATACGAGAGAGATCAGGTCCACGTGACGTGGTCTGGGAAGATGAGGCCGGGAAGCTGGGCAGGTGCTGTCATGATTGTTCTCTACCCTCCCCACTCTTAAACGAGTTGAAGTCCTGGGCACTGGGTTCCAGGCCAGGGGCTGTGTGCTATGCCGAGGGGTGGAGATTCAGAAAAACCATTATACCTGTCAGTCTCCTGCTTCTTCTTATGGTAGGTGACTTCCAGAATGGGGTCCATCCACATCTCTTCCTTGGTGACACCTAAATTCATTTGTCCCTCTCTCCCTCAGCCTTGTGCTCTCCAGAAACTTCACTGGAGGATGGGGGCAGGGAGCTCATTCCAGGAAGGGGCTGCCCCACCCACTGAGGAGGTGAGCAGGGCTGTCTGTCAAGTCCTTGCTAGCCCCATAGCTCTGCTGTAACCAAGTGAGTCATAGGCCAAGGCCCTTGGCTGCAGGGATAGTTCTGGGCACACACCGGAAGGCTGGGGGTTTGCCACCAACTTACAATGTAACCTGGGCCACATCGCCTGGGTTTTCTCATCTATAAAATGAGTACTTCTAGCCGTTGATCTCAGGAGCCTCAAGGAACAAACAGCTCAGTGATTTTCGAGGGTTGTTTAAAAAACGTCAGCGTTCTTTTAAAGTCTTTGAAGTGGCAGTCTCGGCATTAGCCCCTGATAACCCTGCTGGACCCTGGAAGACACCAGCTCTCAGTGTTGACACCCTTGCTGCTCCCTCCACTTCTTTCAGGGTGAGGAACCCCTCAAGCTGTCTGGCCACTGTTACTGTCACTGCCACCGCTGAGCAGCCTCAGGTGTACGTGCCAGCCTCCCCAGGTGAATTGGAGTCTAACTCAAGCAGGTAAGAAGGGACAATCTGGGAGGTGTTCTGTGGGCTATTTCTTCCCTGGAGCTCAAGGACTCGGCCTTTGCCCCACGTTACTTCCCTGATATTAGCTCTAGTACCTACTCCAATTCTCAGCAGCCCATTGGTCAAGGGGCCACAGAGTGTAGCCCAAGTTCCCCTAATATAAACTCCTGTGTGTGGGCCTGAACAGAGTCTCCCAATGAGAAGCTGAGGTGGCACTTCCTAGGGCTCTGCCATCCTTCGGACCTTCGCTAATGTTTCTTGGGGAACATGCTTGCGAAGTCCAAAGAAATCCCTTTGAGGCCAGGGCCTATGTCTGTCTCTCTCGCGTTATCTGTTGTGAGAAGAGGCGCATAACCACTGCCTCACCTGAGCTTCTGTCCTCACCTGCCATCTTAGAGTGCAGGAAGGGAGCCATTACAAGGAGGCTGAGTGAACTGTGTGTGTGTGTGTGTGTGTGTGTGTGTGTGTGTGTGTGTGTGTGTAGGAGAGATCAGAGGAGCGTCTACTGCCATCAAGCCAGCAGGCTGGAGTGCAGAGCATGTAAATGGGGCCAAATTTGGTGTCATGGTGAGCCCATCGAGAGGTAGACCTTGTTCCCAAAGTTGCCAGGGGTTTGTCCAGGGTGAGGCAACTTCCTGAGCTCACCCTGGAGCTCCAAGAGTGGGAAGGGAGAGGTTAGACTGCTGATGGAGATTTGACAGTGTAAGATGAGGCTGAGAGGTGATCTCAGTCCCAGGCAGAAGGGAAACAAAACGTGGTCAGAGAGGAGAATGGAAAGCCCACTGGACTGAGGTCTCAGGAGGGTAGCGTCCCATCACTGGCTGCAGGGAGCGTCTTTCTAGCGCTCTCAAATCCACACACAGCAGGCTGTAGTCATGGGCTTTGATTTCAGCCCGAGTCCACAGTGGGCTCAGCAGCCTAGCAGCTCCTGTTTCCTGCTTTGGTTGCCCGCCGGGGGCTACAGCACCAGCACCTCTGCGCCCAGGCATTCCCATGAGCTCCTGCACTTCCTTCAAACAAAATGGGGGGCCTTCCTGTCCTGGACCCCTGCTTTGGGTCAGCCCCAGTCCCCTGGAATCTTCCAGTATACCTCTTTCTGTTGTGCTGTATTTTTTTCTACAGCAAAGGGATTCTCTTTATGAAGGAGTACGTGAATGCTGGTCAGGTATCTTCCGGGAAGCCACTGTCTGCATTCTACAGCAGGTGAGAAGTCCCAGATCTTTCCATGTCACGGCCTTGTCCTGCCAGGCCCTGTGTTGTCCTCATTCCTGCATCCCCAGTACCTCATTAAGTACTTCTCCCAGAGTACCTTCTGTGTAATCATTTATTGAATAGGTAGATGATTTAATTGCTCACGGACATGATTTATGCCTTTCCAGACGTTCTGCCTAACTCGATGCCTTTGCACTCCCCTTTTGTCATTAACTCATCCTACACTCCACTTCCAGCACCAGCCGTTTCTGCCTGTATTTGTTTCTCGGTAGACTACAAGCTTTCTTTTGTGAAATCCTGAGAGCATCACTCTTAATAGAGCTGGTGAGGCCCTTAAGAACCATCTAGTTAATTCCATCCTGTTCCAGAACTCAGGGCTCCTCTCTTCAGCTCCCATGCTCCTTCCAGCATGCCAGGTTGCCTCATTTGAACACACATTTCACTCATCATCTCTTTGTCTGCTTGCTTCCGGATGCCATATTGAAGAAGATGTTCAACCTTTATGAGCCTCGGTTTCTTCACTTGTAACTCCTTAGAGTGATTTTAGCTTTATTGAGATATAATTAATATATCATAAAATTCACTCTTTAAAGTGTACAGTCCAGTGGTTTTTGGTACATTTACAACGTTGTGCAATCATCACCACCATCCAATTCCAGGACATTTTTATCACACAAAAAGGGAACCCCAGACCCATTAGCACTGCCCCCAGCACCACAAGCCACAGCCCCTGGCCACCACTATTTTCTGTCTCTATAGCTTTTTTCAGGGAGGTGGTTTTTTGTTTTTGTTTGTTTCTTTGGGGTTTTTTTTGACATGCCACGCAGCGTGTGGGATCTTAGTTCCCTAGCCAAGGATCGAACCTGTGCCCCCTGCAGTGGAAGCTCAGTGTCTTAACCACTGGACCGCCAGGGAAGTCCCCTCGTTGTGGTGCCATCTAGTGTTTGCCTCTATGAACTCTGTCCATCTCCTGGTTTTTCTTCTTCCAGTCCCACCAGTATTTTGTTTAATGGGGCACTTAGAGTTGTGTAGTCCAGTGTGTTTTCGCCTTTTGCTTTACCTTCCAGGAGGCTTAGAGGTAAACTTAAATCTCAAAAGAAATCAGAAGCTGGGCTGAAATTCTGGCTCACCTCTTACTCCAAGCATGACCTTAGGCAGGTCACTTAACCTCAGAAGGTCATCACACAGCTCCTGTTAGCATGACAGCTTCACTAAACCATATCCCAGAGCTTGTAGCTAGATGCACTTCCCTGGAAATAGTTTTTTTGATCATTATTTTTTTATTATAAAAAGTCATATTATTGAAAAATGAAGATGCGAAAAGGAAAAAAAATTTTTAAATCACCCCTAATTCCACTGTGTAACCCAGCACAGTATTATGTTGGAATGTTTCCTTGTTTTTTTTTGTTCCCATTCTTAGTTGATTCCTGCAGTGAGTGGGCCCCTGGCGATTGTCACATCATAACCGAGGGCCGTATGTGGGGAGAAAAGCCATGGTCCTTTCCCACTGGTCCGTGAAACTGACAGTTCTCCAGAACCCTAGCCACCCCCTTCTCATCTTCCTCACCACAGCAGGTCTTCTTTGCCCCCAGAGTGTAAGAGCTCTTCTCTGAGAGAATTATGCCTCATTGGCACCAACTTCATTTGGCATAACGGGTGATGGCTGGTCATGCAGAGTCATGTGTTAATCAGAAAAGCACTCTCCACTCATGGCTGCTCTCCTCTCTCCCATCACACTCCCTGCAGCGTCAGCAGCACTGGGGACTCACGCAACATGGAGAAGAAACTCCCACATGACAGTACTCCATACTCTGAGAGGTAAGTCTGCTGTGTTACCAGAGAGCTCACAGGTCTCCAGAAGGAGAAGCAGGTGAGGGAGATTTACACGCTGAAAGTCCATTTGCCTTCGTTTCTGGTCCATTTCCAGATGGGATGTGTCACACCACAGCATAGGGCACTGCTTCCCTCATTGGGGTGTCACACTTGTGGCAATGAAAGCCTTTGAATCCAGCTAAGACCAAAGGGCAAAAACAGTGAGCTAGTGGCAGAGATAGGGCTAAACCCCAGGGCCCTGAGTACTCCCAGGTAAGGGGTGTTTCCACTCTGCCATCTGACTAACTGTGAGCTGGGACTGGTGGTGGTAAAATAGGAGGGAGGAACAGGGCTGTGACGAGGGCAACACTGTCAAGAGCCTGAGCCCTGGACCAGCAGCAAGGCAGGCAAGGACCTTTGACAGGTTCTGTCTGAGGAGGAAAACCAGGGGGTGACTTGAGGAACAAAGGCAGGGATCCTGGAACTGGGGAGATACTCAATCTACAAGTCAGTGTCTAGGACTTCAGTATGAGGTCCCAGCAGGCTCTACAGCCACACTGATTTTGTGATAGTCCTTGGACCCATGCTGCCTCTGTGATACTCCAGGTAGGACTCAGTGCTCCCAGGCATGAAGAGAAGGGCCATCAAGACAAGGGGCCAGGTAGGGCATACGGAGACATGTCTCCTGTAGAAGGAGACGTATGTCTTCCTATTCTAGGTGGGAACAGCCCCCCAAGCAGATATGCTAGGCAGAGGGACAGAGACAAGCAAGCTGCCTGGAATAAGAATCAGATCACGGTGTCCAAACATACGATAGAGAGTAGGGTGAAGATACAGGAATGGTTTCTGAAAACAGCGTGACGGTCTACAGTGGGCTGCGGTCCAGTCTGGCCCAAGGCTATATGGCCAGTTCACACCACAGAAAAAGATGGCAGGCTGGGAATCCTGGCAGCAGCCTAAGCCTGGCTGCGTCAAACCACAGGATCTGGCTGCATCACATCAATAGTCTGCGTACGAGCCTGACCATGGATTCTTGTTTTTCATTTCCCAGAACAAGTGGAGGGGTCTGTACTTACTGCAACCAGGAGATCGGAGACTGTCCAAAGATTACCTTAGAACATCTTGGCCTTTGCTGCCATGACTATTGCTTTAAGGTAAGGAAGACAGGTGGTGCCACTGAGAACATCTTCCAGAGCTGGGGAGCCTTTATGGGTTCAGAGAGTGTGGAGAAGGCTTCATCTCTGCTTGAATGTGCTCCATCTCACAGGCTTTGCAGAACTGGGAGCTGAATGGGCTCCCAAGTCGAAAGGAGTACTATGTGCTTAATACTTTGAGGGAAACAAAAGCATTCTTCTGGGGAAAGGCTATTCCCAGCAGACAGCCAACAAGTGCACAGGCCCTGGGGCAGCAGCATGGAGTATTGTAGCTCGCATGGCTGGAACGACATGAGTGAGGGGTGAGTGGTAGGAGATAAAGTCTAAAGGATGGCTAAGAACTGGATCATGCAGGCCTTTCAGGACACAGAGAGACTTTGGGTTTTATTCTAAATGCAGTTGGAACCCACTGGATGGTTTGAGTGGTGGAGAGACAGGGTCTGACTCATGCTTTTCAAAGGATCCCTCTGACTGCTAGGTGAAGGAGCGAATGTAGAGGGGCAGGAATGGGAAAAGGGAGATCAGTTAGGAAACTGCTGCAGTAGATCAAGCTAGAGAAAGCAGTCACTTGATTAGGGAGTTGGCAGGGGACATGTCAAGATGGTGCCTGGATCGGGGATACTGTTTGAAAATAGAGCTGGTAGGTTGTGGCTATGAGAAAATGAGAGGAGTCAAAGGAGATTGCAAAGTTTGGGGCCCAAGCCATTAGCTGAAAGGATGGTGGTGCCTTTTACCGAGAAGGGAAGGACTAGAGGGGAGCAGGTTTGAGCAGAGGGAAGGCGGAGATGAGTGAAATTGAAGATGCCTCAGTGAGAGCTATGTGAGGAGCTCACATGGTCATTTGGATATGTGAGTTTGTGTTCCAGGGTAAGGCTGGAGCTGGGAGTCTGCAGGGCATGCTTTTTCCCTGAGCCGTCCCTGACCTGATGAAATCACCTAAGGTGTGAGTGGGTGGAGAGGGGGCTGACGCTGAGCCTTGTGGCTTTCTAGCATTTAGAGGTTGGGAAGAGGAGGGGGTCCACAGAGGAGGGTGAGAAGTAACACAGAGTGCAATGCCCCAAGTGACACAGTTTCTCCAAAGACTGCATTGGTCACCCTGTCAGTGGTTGCTGAGAGATCAAATGGGATGAAGCCTGAGAATTGACCTTGAATTTTGCAGCATGGTGGTCATCTGTGACCTCAGTTGGAGCAGTTTTGCTGGAGTGACGGGGATAGAAGGTTGACTGGAGTGGGCTCATGTGGAAATGGACAGAGTGAGCCTGGAAGACTCTCCTGATGGGTTGGCTTTGTAAGGGAGCAGTGCAAGCAGACATTGGGACAGAGGTGCCAAGCATGGGTTGGTGCTGATGGGGAGTGATACAGTAGTGAGCAGACACTGATGGCGCAGGAGAAAGAGATGTTGATGGTGATCATGATGTACGTCTGTAGGAGAGAAAGATGGGTACCAGTTGACACATGGCAGGAATAGGAAAGGCCAAATCTCTGGGACACATACAGAGAGGTTCCCAAGTTGGCTGGTAGAAGAATGAAGAACTTCAGTACTTGCTTCTGTTTTCTCAGTCGATTAGAAAACAAGATCGTCTATGAGTGAGGGTGGGCAAGGGCTGTTGGACACTCGAGAAGAAAGGGGAGTCTGTGAAATGTTGTCTCAGAGACAGGGAGGGTGGATGGGCTGTGCAGAGCCCGCTTGAAGGGAGGGCTCGTTCATTCCTATGGAGACCAGTCAGCATGTACTGTGTTGTTCCCTAGCCAGGCTCAGCCACAAGGGTGAAGCAGGGGCAGTTGCATTTACTGGGGCGGAGATTATGCCAAGTGAGTTGGCAGGGTTTGGTCTGTGTGCAACGGAACAGTAACAGTGAGGCGGTGAGCTGGTCCAGTAATGGAGGTTCCAGCGGTGGCAGAGACCAGCCAAATAAGCTGGAGGACATGGAAGTCAAGCAGTGGGGTGTATGACTTATTGGTTGTAACGAGGTCTAGAGCAGCAGTTCTCACTCTGGAGTGTGCATCTCACACTTGACTATCCCCTGAAGGGCTTGTTAAGACACAGAGTGCTGGGCCCCAGCCCAGTATCTAACTCAGTACGTCTGGGTGGGACCTGAGAATTGGCCTCTCTAACAAGTTTCCGGGCAATGCTGAGGCTGCTTGTCCACATAGAGTCTGGCCAGAGCAGTGGCCGAGGTAGAGAGGGGCCCAGAACATTGGAGGAAAGGAACAAAAGGCCACGTGGTAGGAAGCTCTTCCATCTGCGTGGATCCAGAATTGACTCAGGAGTGCTGCAGGGAGAGACTGTGACATGTCATTTGGCAAAGAACATTCTGTTTCCATGATTCCTGGACTTACATGAAAACTTATTAGAAACTTTTATGAACAATTACATACCAATAAATTAGACACCCTAGAAGAGGTGGATAAATCCTTAGAAACATACAACCTACCAAGGCAGAACCAAGAAGAAATTGGAAGCTTGAACAGACGAATAATAAATAAGAAGATTGACTCAGTAACCAAACACCTCTCAACAAAGAAAAACTCAAGGCTGGGTCTTCACAGGCAAGTCTACCAAACATTTAAAGAAAAATTAATACCAGTCCTTTTTATACTCTTCCAGAAATGGAAGAAAGAACACTTCCAAACTCATTTTACAAAGTTAGCATTATCCTGGCACCAAAGCCAGGCAAAAAATTAGAAATAGAGCTACCAGATGATCCAGCAATCCCACTTCTGTGTATATACACAAAGGAATTGAAATCAGGATCTCAAAGAGGTGTCTGTATTCTCTGTTCGTTGCAGCATTGTTAACAATAGCCAAAACATGGAAGCAACCTGACTGTGCATTGCCTGATGAATGGCTGAAGAAAATGTGGCATATAGGGACTTCCCTGGTGGCGCAGTGGTTAAGAATCTGACTGCCAATGCAGGGGACACGGGTTCAAGCCCTGGTCCAGGAAGGTCCCACATGCCACGGACCACTAAGCCCGTGCGCCACAACTACTGAGCCTGTGCCCTACAGCCCACGAGCCACAACTACTGAGCCCACGCACCACAACTGCTGAAGCCCACACACCTAGAGCCTGTGCTCTGCAACAAGAGAGGCCACCACAATGAGAAGCCCATGCACTGCAACGAAGAGCAGCCCCCACCTGCACAGCTAGAGAAAGCCCACACGCAGCAACGAAGACCCAACGCAGCCAAAAATACATTAAAAAAATGTGGTATATACACAAAATGGGATATTATTCAGCCTTTAAAGAAAGAAGGAAATCCTGCCATTTGCAACAACATGGATGAACGTGGAGGACATTATGCTAAGTGAAGTAAGCCAGACACAGAAGGACAAATACTACCTAGCACCACTTATGTGAGGTATCTAAAACAGCCAGACCCATAGAAGAGAGTAGAAGGGTGGTTGCCAGGGGCTGGGGAGGGGGAAATGGGAAGGTGATGGTCAAAGGGTACAACGTGTCAGGTACCCAAGATAAGTAAGTCCTAGATATCTAGAATATTTTGTCAATTTTTGGTTACATACTTTAATTACAGGGCACCCCTCTTAAACAGAGAGCAAAATTACGGGAGTCTCAGACCTAAGCAACTCCGGGCACATTTGGTCTCACAGAGCCAAGTGTTGGGTGAAGGGTGCAGTTGGAGTGGGTTGGGGTCCCAGGAAGGCTTTGTGAGGGAGGTGGGTCCAGAGTCAGAGGTGAAGAGGTGTCCAAGTGTATTTTCCAGGTGGCTAAACAGGTCTCCATCGTGCGTACAGAGGGAATAGGGATGAAGAGGCAGGCAGGAGGCTGGCAGGCCTGGGAGGAGGAGGCACAGAGCGGGAGGGATTTTAAACTTGCCTGATTGGAGCTCACACAGGGCTGGGGAACTTGGAATTGTGGCAAAATAGGCCTGATATTCTTGGGGAATTCTTGGAATGTGGGCAAGGTGCCTGAGAGCCACCCCTGGGGTCCATGAGCACAGAGGTGAAGAGGATATTATTTTCGTAAGGTCACACAGCTGCTCAGAACCGAGGGTGGAAATCCCGGTTCCGATATCAGAGCCAGTGTCGTCTCAGCTACACCCTGCAGCCTCCCAGGATATGCCATTCCGTTGCTCAAGTTCATTTGTATAAACTAATCTGTCACTATCCTTAACTGTAGGTTTATCTTACCTTTGTTAGATTGACATAACATTTTAAAATACTAGTTTGTAGGGGACTTCCCTGCTGGTCCAGTGGGTAAGACTCCGTGCTCCCAATGCAGGGGGCCCAGGTTCAATCCCTGGTCAGGGAACTAGATCCCTCATGCATGCCTTAGCTAAGAGTCCGCATGCCACAACTAAGAGTCCACATGCCACAACTAAGAGTCCGCATGCCGCAAGTAAAGACCCTGCGTGCCGTGACTAAGACCTGGTGCAGCCAAAATAAATAAATAAATGAACATTCAAATCAATGAATACTAAAATAAATAAATAAAATGGAATACTAGTTTGTATTGTTATATTTAGGAAGAAAGAGAAGACACTTATGGCCATAGCATCACAACAACCTTTTAGGGTCCCTGTTCTCCGCAGTGTGAGGCATGTTGCAAGCCCAGATTGTTGAGTTTTTTCCTGTGTTCCCAGAGGTGACCCCCTAAATGGATCAGCACCATTAGCTGGCTAAGTTGAGGTTCAAGTCCTGGTCTACAGTAACTAGAATCACAGAGGGCTGATAAATTTACAGTGAAAAAAATGGCCAGGAGGATAGCCTCATCCACCAGAGGGCAGACAGCAGAAGCAAGAAGAACTACAGTCCTGCAGCCTGTGGGACAGAAACCACATTCACAGAAAGATAGACAAGATGAAAAGGCAGAGGGCTATGTACCAGATGAAGGAACAAGATAAAACCCCAGAAAAGCAACTGAATGAAGTGGAGATAGGCAACCTTCCAGAAAAAAAATTCAGAATAATGATAGGGAAGATGATCCAGGACCTCGAAAAAAGAATGGAGGCAAAGATCGAGAAGATGCAAGAAATGTTTAACAAAGACCTAGAAGAGTTAAAGAACAAACAGAGATGAACATTACAGTAACTGAAATGAAAACTACACTAGAAGGAATCAATAGCAGAATAACTGAGGCAGAAGAATGGATAAGTGACCTGGAAGACAGAAAGGTGGAATTCACTGCTGCAGAAGAAAATAAAGAAAAAAGAATGAAAAGAAATGAAGACAGCCTAAGAGACCTCTGGAACAACATTAAACGCAACAACATTCGCATTATAGGGGGTCCCAGAAGGACAAGAGAGAGAGAAAGGACCGGAGAAAAGACTTGAAGAAATTATAGTCAAAAACTTCCCGGCGTCCGTGCCCGAGGCTCGTGGATCTGTGGCCGCAGGGCGTGGCACCGGAGCTCGAGGGGGTTGGGGTTGGGGGCGGGCTGCCTGCCGCCATGACCTGGAGTCAGGACATGTTCAACGCCATCATGATGGCGGATGAGAGGTTATGATGGTGCCAATTACACTGCTGGGCCTTCAAATTCAGAGCCTTTATTCTACTGCAGGCACCACAGTCACGGTACATTCTGTGATCATCTGATGGCGTTTCTCCTTGCTAGTCTCCTGAGGTGTGATGGAAAGCCCGGTTTCACAGGGAAGGTTATCAGGAAGGCTATGAAGAAGGAAGTAGCTTGGGTATGATTGATTGAAGGAAGACATGTTACGTGGAGCTAAAATCGGATCTGAGATCGGGTGCTACCGAGGTTTTGCTTTTGCGTGGAGATGTCTCCTGCACGGCTGGGCCACTGAGAAAGACAGCAAAGATGAAGGTCTTAGAATCGTTGATTGGAATGATTCAGAAATTCCCTTACGATGACCCTACTTATGATAAACTTCATGAAGACTTAGACAGAATTGGAGGGAAATTTAAGCAGCTTTGTTCATTACTAAACATCCAGCCCGACTTTAAAATTAGTGCAGAAGGTTCCGGACTTTCATTTTGAGGATGACAGATACACAAAGACAAAACATCAGGGAACAAACTTCTCACACCAGTCAGAATGGCCATCATAAAAAATCTATAAACAGGGCTTCCCTGGTGGCACAGTGGTTGAGAGTCCGCCTGCCGGTGCAGGGGACACGGGTTCGTGCCCCGGTCCGGGAAGATCCCACATGCCGTGGAGCGGCTGGGCCCGTGAGCCATGGCCACTGAGCCTGCGCGCCCGGAGCCTGTGCTCCGCAGTGGGAGAGGCCACAGCAGTGAGAGGTCTGCGTGCAGGGAAAAAAAAAATCTATAAACGATAAATGCTGGAGAGGGTGTGGAGAAAAGGGAACCCTCTTGCACTATTGGCGGGAATGTAAATTGATACAGCCACTACGGAGACCAGTATGGAGGTTCCTTAATAAACTAAAAATAGAATTACCATATGACCCAGCAATCCCACTACTGGGCATATACCCAGAGAATACCATAATTCAAAAAGACACATGCACACCGGTGTTCATTGCAGCACTATTTACAATAGCCAGGTCCTGGAAGCAACCTAAATGCCCATTGACAGACGAATGGATAAAGAAGATGTGGTACATATATACAATGGAGTATTACTCAGCCATCAAAAGGAGCGAAATTGGGTCATTTGTAGAGACGTGGATGAATCTAGAGACTGTCATACAGAGTGAAGTAAGTCAGAAAGAGGAAAGCAAATATCGTATATTAATGCGTATATGTGGAACCTAGAAAAATGGTACAGATGAACCGGTTTGCAGGGCAGAAATAGAGACACAGACGTAGAACACAAACATATGGACACCAAGCGGGGAAAGCAGCGGGGGGTGGTGGTGTGATGAACTGGGCGATTGGGATTGACATATATACACCGAAGTGTATAAAATGGATGACTAATAAGAACCTGCTGTATAAAAATGTCCCTAAAATAAAATTCAAAAAATAAATGGCCAGGAGACAGGAACTGAAAAACAGAAGAAAGAGCCACCAGAGAGGTGCTTGGTGAGAACGAGCAGAGGGACTTGGGGACCCTTGCGGCCGCTCTCCACTGCTTTCAGCTGGAAGCCAGCAGCCTTAGCCAGGCTGGGCCTGGAGACAGCTGGAGTCTCAGAAACATGGGGACTCTTGGTCTCCTCTTAGTTGAGACTGTCTGCAGGCCACCCTGCTCTGACTCCTCGTACCAGGAGGGTCCGCTGCAGATGGCTGGCTGTTATCATCCTTTAGACGTTCGCTGGAGAGACACGCCGGAGCGGCTGGACTGCTGAAATAGCTTTACCTTTCAGTGGGCCTTCATGTCACCTTCTTTTGGACTTTAAATGTCACAATTAAAGCCCTCCTGTAGATGAGGACATGGAGGCTCAGGGAGCCTCAGTAACTTACTCAAGCTCACCTAGCTAATAAGTAGTGGATTTAGGGCTCAAACCCAGGCCCAATTCTGAAGCCTGGGCTCCTAACCACTGTGTGATCATTCTGCCTGTTAGATTTTTTTTGTTTTTGTTTGGGTTTTGTCTCTGTTAGCCATTTTTAAATTGTCTGCTTCGAAGTCTAGGATGTGCCATCAGCTTGGAGCCTGCCCACTCCACTCGTTTATATTTGCTTCACTTGTGTGCTGACCTCTAGCTTGTTTTCTCTTTCAGTGTGGGATTTGCAGTAAACCGATGGGTGAGCTTCTGGATCAGATCTTCATTCACCGTGACACCATCCACTGTGGGAAGTGCTATGAGAAGCTCTTCTAGGTGGGTGCTGGAAACTTACTAGAGGCCAGAAATGTGCTCTGGTCTCTCCCTGAGTCTTGACCTGGGACAGTGCTTTCTCTCTCAGCCTTTGTGTTCAGGGGACCCCGAGTCCTTGTGTCCCTATGCCCTGTGATACTTTGAAGTCTTAGGTGGCGCAGATAAAGAGCCTCCCCATGGACATTTCCAAGTTGCGGGAGTCATTGTCTCTTCCTGTCAAGAAGCACCTTCCATGCAGCACCTCAGCTAAGCCCTCTAGCTGCCCTGAGATGCTGGCCAGGCCTATGTTGTTAGCCTCATTTGAGAACAAGAAAGTAAAGACCTAGAAAGGAAAAGGACATGGGGAAACACCTGGCTTGTAGATGGCAGAGTCAGGACCTCAACCCAGGACTTCAGATTCAGGTCCGGGCCTCTCTGCCACATTCCCTTGAGTCGCCTCCAGCATTGCTCCTATAGCATCAGATCAGGCCTCAGCCGAGGTATTCAGTAAAACAGATACACAGCTGGGTAGCAGCAGCAGGTGAAGGCCAGGATACGCAGGCGTGTGTGGGAGGTGATGGTGCTGTCCCGGCACCTGGGCAGCCTCGGGGCCACATTGTGAACTCTGCCTGAAGTCAGGTTTGCATGCTGAAAGCCCGTGGGATCGACCCTGGTGTCTGAGCTTCACGGGGCCCAGTGACCCTCCTCAGCCAGAAGCACAGAGCAGAATATCTCCCTTGAAGGCAGTGGGGATCGGTACCAACCGGGCCCTCCAGAGCCACAAGCCTGTTCTGCCTTTTCTCCAGAAGACACATTGACCTGGACTGTCACTCCCGGTGCCTGGAGCGGTCACCCTCGCCAGGGGCTTCTGACTGCTCACTGGATCGGGTGTGTATCTCCAATCTCATGGATACTCTTCTATTTCCTTCCAGCTCCTCCAGGCTAAGAAGAAGCTGATAACTCCTGGGCAAGTTTGACTGTCCCCACTGGCCGCAAGTTGCTGACTCTTGCTCCCTCACCTCCTCTCTCCTCCATGTGATTTTGCTTTCATGTTTTTGCTCTTCTTAAGTTGAACGTGCTTTACACCCAGTAGCATATCTTAACGATGTTATGATAATTACTTGTGTGTGTAGCTTTTTATAGCTTAGAAAGCACTTCCCATCCATTATGTTACTTCCGGCTCAAGCAAAGAGGATTGAACAGTAATTCCATTTTGGCTTCCCCCAGACTGGTCAGCTTCCTGATGAGTTTAGGTGGCCTGGTACAATAGTCACGGACAAGAGCGTGGGGTGCGGTGTATCCTGACTCTTGGGACAGAGAGCAAATCACATTGTGGTTCACAGCTCTGAGTGTACCTTTGGAACCTGACAGGAGAAGGAGACCTCCTGAAGCTTCTGAGGGGTTAAAAACTGTTGACGATCCCTGGTGGGTAAATTGCAGACGCTGAAATGCTAGGGATTGACATAGGCTAATGTTTACTTAGCTTGTCTATTTGCCATATATATTTTTTAAACTTTCCGTATACTTTTACAACTAGTTAGTTGCTTTTGTTTGAGTTATATAGCAGATTTTAATGACCTCCTACCTACCTACCCTTCAGTATAGTTGCGTTTTTGTCCTGCAGGCATGTGGACATGTATTAGAAAGTTTACACGTTAGGTTTAAATTCTATAGGATGTGATTCTTAAGAGGCTACTGACCAAAGGGACATCTGTGTCTGAATCTTGCTAGCTAATTAATACCTTTGCCCTCAATGTCTGATCCCTAGACTTTACACAGAAATCCCCTAGAGCAAGTTTTAGGGTCTATAGACTCCAGCAGGATTATGAAGGGAGAAAAGCAGCTAACATTTCTTGAGGCGTTACTGCGTACCAGGCATTATCACAAAGTGGTGGCGTTAATCCCCACATGCTAATCGTGTACAGAGGGTATTCTTCTCCGCAGTTTGCAAGTGAGGATGTTGAGGCTCAGGGAGGCGGTCATTGCGTTGTGCACAACGCACCCATGTGACACTCTCCAGCACCCATGCCCTCTCCAGTAACAGTAATGAGAAACTCGTGCATTGATTTAATGCTGAGTATATGCAAAGCACTGTGTGGAGGTGACACCACGCCCTCAACCTTCCCTGACGCACACTTTTACAAAGAGGGGAAGGTGGGGAATTGCACCCCTCCTCTGGGCATCCTGGGTCCCCATAAAATACCAGAAGGGCCAAACTGGCCCTCTCACCTCCCTTTTCCATGAAAACACTTCTGAACTGAAATACTCTGAGCTGGGAACAGATTTGACTTACAGAGCCTCCCAAAAAAGAGCTTGTCAGCCCAGGGGAAGCTCCAGTAGGCTAGCTGATCTGGGCACAGGGCTCTCATTGACCTCCCATTTTCCAGTCCAGACTCTGTCCCAAGCTAGTGGCAACTACTGAGACCCCAGGTACTTGGAACAGGGATACCTGTCGGCCAGCTGGACGGATGCAGGCCCATTCATGCAGTCAGGTGATGCTGTGCTCAGGTTCGACTGGGCCCCTCTGCCTTTGGGACCAGCATCACTGTGTAAGTTCCTCGAAAGGACAACCTGACAGTTTTTCTGATGAAAACTGAGGGCCTTTCCTCTTCGTTTAATTAGAAAATGCCTCTCCATCTCTCTCCAGTTTCTGAGCCCTGTGCACGTTGGCTGGTGGACTTCTTCCTGCCAAATGATCAGAGAGGAATGTTCCATTTATTTCCATAGATGTGCGTCAGATTTGCTCTGGAGTGGGAAACTGGCCATGTACTCGTACAAAATATGAGCTGGTTTTCCTCAAGACCAGCCCTCAGCCTGGGACCTGGCAGACGGTAGGGACTGACACATAGGTGCTGAATGAATGAGTGAAAGGGAAAGAAAGGTTGTGCCTTTGGGTGGGAGATAGCACCCCTGAGTCTTGGCAGGATAAAGAGGTGCAAGATAGGCTGGCTCCCCCGCCTTCTAGATACACTCTGCCTTTAAGAGAGTTTGAGAACCAACATGCAAGATATTGACTCCAATCTGAAAAAGTCTCATGTTTAAATGGCACAGAATTCTTCGGACTTAAGGAAGAGAGGTGGTTGCATTACACTTTCGCTTCTTTTTATTTGCCTAGAATTTTTAATCATGCTTGCTTAACTCATTAATGTACACAATTATAATAAATGGTAAGATATTTCATGTGTAAATGTTAAGGTTTCCTTTTATAGGTGTAATAACTTGGCGTATTTGGCTGTGTGATTTGTTTTCTCCTACTGCCTGAAGCCACTCTCTTTACAAAAGCAAATAAATACTTTAAGGAGTATCAGAGTTTTCTCTACAGAAGCAAATACTTTTAAGAAGTATGAAATCTAAAGAGAAAAAAACAGCATTATCTAGAAACTATGCATGCACAGCAAGTGTGCAGTTCTAGACCTGTCAGATCGTCATGAAGCCTATTTTATTCTTTCGGGCCCATCCTTCCTTTCATTGTCGACAGGTGGCCGCCTCGTCCTTATTGAACTCTTGCAGTGACCAAGAGCTCGGTCCCTTACAAGCCCGTTCTGTCTGTGGAAGTGCGTCCCTCAGCTGAGTTACAACCTGTTCCCTTTAACTATCACCCACTGGTAATCTGTAATCCCTCTTTTATATGCCAGCCCCTAAAATCGGTAAATACGCTTGTTGGGTTCTTCCTCTGTCAACTCTTCTCCCATTTAAACACCCCTGGTCCCATCAACTCTGACAGGAATTCTGCGTATGCATCTCTTACCCTCAGAGGTGCCCCCAACCGCACGTCCGAACCCGTTCCTCCAGATGTGTACCGACAGGCAGGACTTTCACCTTGCTCATTAAGGCTGGTGCCCCAAGCAGTCAGAATCCTGTCGAACAGTCATTCTGCCTATCACGTGATCCATGCTTCCAGGTTTTGTTTCCGAAAATATAATTTGCGTGTCATCAATGTCTTGATCCAGCCTGGGGCCAAAAAGGGTGGTCGGGAAGTCAGTCCAAAGATAGAAGACATGACAGAGAAATCCCTCTACAACTGAGCAGGGACGTTGGGACCCAGTATTCAGTAGGTATTGAACTAGTGTCCCTGTAGCTATTTTCTCACCCCAACCTCAGCCACCATCTTGGCTACATGAGTACATTTGGGAAAGGAAGATTTACCACTTCAAAGGCAAGAACTGTAACAGCAGCTCCTAACCAGGACCTGGAGTCTCTGTTGGTGATAGCATGTGACACAAAGACCTAGAAAAAAAAACAGGGTACGGTTATTTTGAAAAATGGCTTAGCAGACCAGGTTCCCACCAAGCCGGTTGATCCCCAGTACCCAGCCTCCCCTATTCCTCCTTCCCCTTTATAGGTCCACACCTGTGAGGGCCCCCAACCCATACACCCCCATGTGGGGTCCTCTGGGGGACTCTGCTTATGAATGTATTCCGCCTGTGTATTTCCACACACCCCATTTCTCTTGTGATGTTTCTCTGCACAATGTCCTTTTCCCATGAACTTCCCAAGGGAGGAAAGCTTCCACCAGGGGACCCAACACTGGTTACATTGAATTCAAAGTTGAGATCACTACGTGGCCATTTGGGGCCCTTCCTGCCACTGAGTCAACAAGAAGGGTGTTATTTACCTGCCGGCTGAGCGCTCCTGACGATCGAGGGGAAAAGGGTCGCTGCAAGGACCACATAGCAAACCCAGGAGAAGAGTCTTCTGGGAGTGTCTCTTAGTGTTCCCACGTCCAATAACGTAAGATAACGGATGACTGTGATGACTCATGCAGGCAGGACCACTAAGGGATCAGATTGGTTAGGAATAAAGGTTTGTATCTTACTGCCTGGTAGACAACCACATCCAGCTAGACGAGGTCATAGGGAACTGAAATCCTAGTGGAAAAGGAAGTTACAACTACTATGACCTCATGGCCAGTTGCAAAAATAACAGCTACAGAAGCTATGCATACTTTGTCTTGCTTTGCTATTATATATTTAAATCTGCCCCATTACTTTTCTTTCTCCCATTCCCAAATCTCACGTTTAAAT